TCATATATCAACTAATAAAATCTGCTCGGCAATGTAAGCCACCTTAAAAGTAAAAAAAAAAAAAAAAAAAAAAAAAAGAAAGAAATATATATATATATTATTATTAGAAAAATAAGATTAGTATTAGAAAACCAAAATATATTTGAAGAGAACATTTTTCTTATTATATTATAAAAGATAAAAAAATTGAAAAATCTATTTATATCCTTGAAAATAAAATCAAAAAAAATTTAACAATTAATATAAATTCAGATTAGAGTAATTGTAATTAGAATGCTAAAAATCAAACAACACCAATTGTCATTATAAAAGAATTTATAAGAAAAGATTGGAAATGAGAATTCTATACTATTTTTGATAGTTGGTTTCATAAAAAAATAATATTTCTCTTTACAAGACATAATATTGATAATTGGTATAATATTTTTAAAAGTAAACAAAGCTATAATGAAAAAATATTTAATGATAAACTTTGGAGATTAGATGAATTTTATGTTAATAAACTTAACAATAATAATAGAAAAAAAATAATTAAAAGTATTTATCATAAATATAAAAATAATATAGTTTTACAAATTGTAAAAATAAAGATAGACATTATTATTATATCAGATAAAATTTTTTTATTTAAATATAAATAAATATTAAATAAAATTATTTTTTACATTTATTACTACTTTCACTTTCATTAGATTCATAAGGTCTTTTGCTTGTACTTGATTCTAAAATCTCTTCAATATTTTCTATATAATCTATTTGAATATTAATATTCTGAGTTTCTAAAAGAACTTCCTATTTATAATCTGATAATTCTTTATATCTTAGATAATCTCATAAATATCTCTTTTTAAACTCTGAAAAATTATGTTTCTAATATACTTGATTATTTTTTATTATAATCTTCCATCTTCATCTTTGTTCAATTCTTTAACAACCTCTATCAATTCCTCTTTTGTATATTCTCCTTTATCATATTTCAAATTCCAAATCATATTTCTAAACTTCTCTTCTGAACCTCTATGAAATATCAATTCTGTTGTACATAAATCAATATTATTATTTCATTTTTCTTTAAATTCAATGATAAAATCAAGTTTCCTATCAAACTATTTCTAATCTTTATAAATCTCATTCTCACTTCTGTTATATTGACCAAAATTAAATAATTCTTCTGGAAATCTTCATGAGATCATAAATATATATTTAGCAAGAAAAGGTTTAAATTCTTTACGTTTAACCTCAACTTCTGCAGATATATCATTTAAATATAGCACAATATTATCCTATCTAACTACTATATACCATTTATTAAAAAAAACAATTGATTAATTCTCATACCTATTTCACTATGTATTTCTACTTTTCTGTATTTTCTTTTTCAAGTAAATTTCTGAACAGAATAACTTTTGCACAAGATTTAATTTTCCTGCTTCACTATCACTATAAAAATAAAATATTACTAGTCTCCAAAACCTCTCAGCTTTTTTTGCTTTTTGTTTGATTTGTAAATTATCTAATCTTTCTTTTCCTTGAATAGAATTAATATAAGAAAGAAGCATTAATTCACTAGGATTTTTTATTATTTTTTTAAGAGAAATATTATTATTTCAAATATTTTTTAATCATTTTATATTTTCTAATTTAGCTTTGTTTATATTTTCAGATAAGTTATCATTATTATCTTTCTGAGCTGCTAATAAAAATTGATATTCTCCAAATTCAAATAGTCTAATTATTTCTTGAGACAATTCATTTCCATTATCATTTAATATTCTAGCTAAAGTTCTTTTTTCTATATATGAACTATTACAAATATCACAGATTTTTTCACATATTTAATAGTCATATCTACAATTCTTTTTATATTTTATTTCTTTATATCTGTTCTATTTCTTTTTACTATACTTCTGATTTTGTTTAGAATCTTCATTCAAATATTTTAGAAAATCTATTGCATGATATCTAAATATATCTTTAATCAATTTAATTGTTTGTCTATCTTTAAATTGAAAATATGCTTGTTTATGAAATTGTCCTTTCTCTGTAAATCCATACTGTCTATTACTATATGTTAATTCTAATTTAGATAGTTTTTCAAATTCTTGTTGAGTTTTTGGAAGTATACATTTACATTGTTGGCTTGTTTTTGTACAGTAAGAACAAATTGTTTCATTATATTAGTAAAGTTTGCAACAATTATCACAATTATTATCTTTACAATACTAATGATCAACCTCACAAAAAGAATATTTAGATATTTCTTTAGTTTCTTCATATTTCTTTTTACGTTCTTCTTTATCCTTTTCAGAAATATTCTTCTTATACTTGAACTTGTTCAAACATGATATACAATAATATATTGTTAACATAGTATAGCAAAATTCATATTTACTTATCATTAGTTTATTTTTAAAAAATAAGTAAAAATATTTTAAAAGTAATTTTTAAAATTTTACTAGAGAGAAATTAAAACCTTTTATAGTTTTTTTTTTTTTTTTACCTTTTCAACAAGTCATGCCAATACTTTATTTT